AGGAATAAAACATTCTTCATTTCAGAAGATGCTACCTCACAGGTACTTTAGGACAGCCGGAGACAAACGGAATATATTTATAAATGTCCCACATGAGTCCCCCTGATTTATCTCTCCTGGTTTCCTTTTGAATCCTGGCTTTCTCCTGGGGTGGCTTCTCTGGGATGTTAGTCAGAGGTCACTTTGTGAAAGCAATCAAGGGAGAGAAAATGGGAGGCAGGAAGCTAATTGGCAAATGAAACCTTCATTCAGAACTTAAGAAACTTCAACCCTGATGGGGCACAGAGGGGAAGCAGTTGGGGTTGAGAGTCAAGACCCTGTGGGCTCAAAATCCGACTCTGCCAGTTACTTTGAGGACTCTGGATAGATCAGCAAGACGTCTGAAGTGCCATTTTCACTAACGTCAAATAGGGGATTTGTTGCTGTTTTTGTAGCCCTTGACTCAATGCCAATTCATAGTGACCCTGTTCCATGGGCTGTCATCTTCACGGGAGCAGGCTGACAAGTATCTGCTCCCTCGGAGCCAGTGACCTTTCAGTTAGCAGCCAAGAACTCAATCTTCGGTCCCCAGGGCTCCATCAAATTGGGGTGTAAAGTGCTATGAATATTTGTCAAGAGTTGTCTGTATACGGTGACCCCTCAGTCACATTCCAATCACCTGACCTGACTTTTACCCCCACTCTCTGGACTGAAAGCCTGCTTCCATTGTCCCTCAAGACCTCCCTACCAACTAAACCCAGTGGTCCTTTCAACAGAAGGCTTGGACCCTTGTGACCAGTCCTGTCTTTCTCACTTGATGACCATCACAGTCCCTGGCCTTCTGCCTTCCTTCTCAGCTTCTTTTGTGGTCTTGCTCCTTCCAGGACCCCAGTCGCTGGTGGTCTTATAAGCTTCATCTTTGCCCTCATCTCTGTCCACACTTGTTCTCTGGGTGCAGCCCCATGATGTTAATAACATCTCTATGCCAATGGCTCAAACCATCTTTGGCTTAGACCATATATCTAAGCTTCAGGCTCAAAATCTTACTGCCTATGTGATAGCGCCATGTGTATAACTTGTAGACATTCCAGACATGGCATGGCCAGTAAGGAAATCTTGTTTTCACACCCAAACCTGGTCTGGCACCAAGAGTGCTGGCTGCCACCCAACATGTCTTAAAATCAGAGATCAGGGGGTGGGGGTGGGGGGCTGTTCTCTCTTTTCCCTGGCCACACACCTTCTCCCCACCTGTAAATTCTGTTCATGCTATAGCGGGATAATTCCCGAGTCCTTCGCTGCTCTCCTCTCCACTTCTACCATTGTCTCTCACTTGCCCAAATACTTGACCCTTCCACTGGTCTCTTGTCCCCAGCCTCCGCCTTCCCAACAAGATCTGTGCACGTGAGTCAGATCCTGTCTTGCCTCTGAAACTCTTCAGCTGTTTCCCGTTGTGCTTCAGATCACCCAAGCTCCTCACCTCGGCTCACCAGCCATTCGATGCAGAGCCCAGCCACCTCCTCGGCTCCCACCATATCCCCAGCGACTCTTTGCTCTGCTCTCATGTTTCAGGGATGTGGCCTCTCTCAGTTCCTAGAATGTTCTGACCCCCAAATGAAAGGGTTCCCCCTGGCTTGTGGGAGAAAAATGAAACGTCCTACTCCTGTACACAGCTGTAGCCTAAGAAATCTATCGGTCCAGTTCTACCACATTCTATAGGGTCGTTATGAGTCAGAATCGCTTTGATGGTGAATTTGGTTTGGTTTTGGATTTCTCTCCCAGTAGGTTAGACTCCATCCTTTAGGACACAGTTAACTATAGACCTCTCCGGGCAATTCTCTAAGGCAGCACCTCTGTTAAAATCTACCGCTACCATTATCTCCTTCATTTCTCAAGTCACCACTAATAGTATTTGTTATTTATTTACATGTTTATTGTGTGAAGCCCTGACTAGATTGTAAACTCAGTGCAGGCAAGGACCTGGCTCCCATGTTAACACCTAAAGCATACTCCAGCACCTATCACACAAAAGGTGCTCAAAAAGGTACTTAATAGATAAGAAAGGAACAGCTCTTGCTAGGTACAAGCCTGTGTACGACAATGCAAACTACTATCTCACCCTGTGCCATGCTCACACTTGTGGTTGTGTTTGAGGCCAGGATTGCAGCCACTGTGTCCACTGATCTCATTGAAGCGCTTCCTCTTTCTTGTCACTGACCTTCTCCTTAATCAAGGGTGTTTGGCTGGATTGACTAGAGAAACAGACCCAGTGACATTCATATGTGTGTGAGAGAGAGCGTTTTGTCAATAAGTAGTCATTTATCAGGAAAACATCCCATTCCAGTCCAAATCAAATCCTTAAGTCCAATACTAGTCCATAAATTCCTCTTTAGACTCAGAGCCCCCAGCAGTGATGGCAAATGCAGAAACATCACTGGCCGGTGGGTGCAAAGTCCCGTGAATCCAATGGCAGTGGCTCTGGCAGCTCCTCGAGTGACTCCATAGCAGGAAGGTAAAGATAGAGAGGGAGGGGTAAGGTTCCCAGGGCCCTCCTTATGAGGAAGTTATGCCCACAAGGAGGCACCACCAGGCTGTGACCTGATTGACAGGCTAGACTCCACCCCGACACTTCAAGTTGACATGAAATTATGTAACTATCACACCAACCATGATGTCCTTTTCCAGGGACTGGACTCTCCTGACATGTCCAAAGTAGATGAGACGTAGTCTCTGTATCCTCATTTCTAAGACTATACTTCTCCCAACACAGATGTGTTCTTTTGGCAGTCCATGATACTTTCAATGTTTATTGCCAACACTATAGTTTAAATGCACCATTCTTCTCCAGTCTTCTTTCTTCATTGTCCAACGTTCACCTACATATGAGGTGATTGAAAATACCATGGCGTGGGTCAGATGCATCTTGGTCCTCAAAGTGACATCCTTGCTCTTTGGCACTTTAAAGATGCCTTGTAAGGAAGATCTGCCCTGTGCAATATGTTCTCTGATGTCTTGATTGTTGCTTCTATGAGCATTGCTTTTTAACCCAAGCAAGGTGAAACCCTTGACAATTTCAAACTGTTCTTCACTTACCACGGATATTTATTGATTAAGTTGTGAGGATTCATGTTTCCTTCACATTGAGTTGTTATACATGCTGAAGACTGTAGTCTTTGATTTTCATCAATAAGTAGTTCAAGACCTCCTCAGCTTTAGCGATCAAGGTTGTGTCATCTGGTTATTGCAGGTTGCCTTCCCCCAATCCTGATGGCATGTTCTCCAGCGTCTCAGATGACTGACACAGCATACAGAGTGAAGAAGTCTGGTCAAAGGATACATCTCTGATGCACACCATCCTGATTTTAAACCATGCTGTGCATCTCCTTGTTCTGGGAGACCCAGACTCTTGGTTCATGTGCAAGTTCAGCATGAGGACAATAAAATGTTCTGGAATTCCCATGCTTTGCAGTGTTATCCTGAGTGTGCTATGCTCTACACAGTTTAATGTGATTGTGTTGTCAATGAAATGTAAGTTAATATCTTTCTAGTATTTAGTATTCTCTGCTTTCATCCATCTGACACCCAAGACCCCATCTTCTTCTGAATCTGACTTGAATGTTTGGGAGGTCCATGTACTATTACAGCGGATTTTTAATTACCGTCAGCAAAATTTTACTTGCATGTAATATTAATGATATTGTTTGATAATTTGTCCTATCACTTGGGTCATTATTCTTTTAAACAGGCACAAATATGGGTCTTTCCCAATAGGTTGGCCCTGTAGCGATCTGCTAAGTTTCTTGGGATAGACTGGTGAGTGCTTCCAGAGGTGTTTTGGAATATTTCAGTTGGTTTTCTGTCAATTCCTCAGACTTTGATACTCTTAGTCCCTTCAGTATTATCTGTTCTTGGTCAATTGTTACCTCTTGATGGCGAACCAATGGTTCAACCAATTCTATGTTGTACAATGATTCTCTACTCCTTCTGTCATCTTTTGAGGCTTCCTTCATTGTTCAATACAGACTCTTTCAGCATTGCCACTCTAGACTTGAATTTTTTTCTTCAGTTGTTTCAGCTGGAGATATTTTTGAGAGTGTTCTTCCCTTTCAATTTTCTATCTCCAAAAGGTATATCTGCATCTTTTTAAGTTGCCCACTGAAATTTTTTGTTTAGCTCCTTGATGTCAACATTTTCCACCCATTTGCGTTAACTATTCTAAATTCAAGAGCACTTTTGGTCTTTTCTTTCTTTTCTGTCTCTTCATTGACCTTTTGTTGTCTTCATGTATGAAGTTCTTGATATTATTTCACAAATCATTTAGAGTTCAATTACTCAAACCTGTTCTTAACATGGTCTCTAAATTCAGGTGCGATATACCAAAATCATATTTTGGCTCTAGTGGACTTGTTTTAGTTTTTGTCAACTTCCACTTTAATTTATACATAATCAATTGATGTTTTGTTCTACAGTCCCTCCCT